TAAGTACAATGTTTTATTGTAATTTAATATATGTAGTATACAATTATTTATTGATTATTTAACATAGCGTACATATTTACAGAGCATTACAAATAAATGCACAGTCAATTCAATCAGGCACAATGATACGCTCGTACCGAACATTTTAGTTAACATAAGTACGTGTATTTTTAATTTTAATGTATTGCGCATATATAATATTTACTTAATATTGATATTTGTAATAATTTATTAATCTAGAATTTTATTTTTTTATATAATTGATGTTATTGATCCGAAAGCCAGTAGCATGTACAGGTACAAAATGTCTGTATGTTTTAACAGTGACAAAACAAAGTATATGGCTTCTTCGTTAATCGTTAACACAATATGAATAACGGTTCATAATTTATTGTGCTGCAGTGCATGACTGTAATGATAGCATCACTAAATTAATAAAAAATTATTTTTAATTACGTTTGTCATTTGCTAGATGCCTGCATATCGTACACTCAGTCGGAAAATATTTATTTCACGGCAGTAGTGTGACGTATCTAATTTTTCTCAAAGCATAGAGTCTAATGTATTTCTGTAGGGCATCTGGTTCGCAGTTTTCATTACACCATACGTAGCTCTAACCACTTAATTTTCCAAACCGAAATATTCCCCTAACCTTGATGAAGTGGTAATGTGTTATACTATATCGTATGCAATCTATCTCTGTGTACTTGAAAACTCACAGCAAAACACGAATTGTTAATCAAACTGCATGGATTCTGATTAATAATTTAACGCTTCGTATTAAATCCAGCTAGCATTCCATGTTTTTTTTTCCAGTAATACCATCTCATATAGCAAAAATTATGCGGTCTGCAAATACCTACAGATACATGAAAACTAACAGCTAAACCAGATAATATTGAATTACTGCATTGAGTCTGCTAAGCGCTATTACAGTAATTATGTAAAATCATCATTTGTTGTTTTACAGCGGTTCAGGAATGCAAACGTTATCCGGCGAGGCCCGGACTTTTTTGAAGATCATCCTGGCATTCACAGCGCGGCGTGGAGCCGATGCATGCCCCGCTGTCGAAGCCGTGGCCACGGCAGTACTGCTCACACCAGCTGTCCTGCTCCTCCGGCTCATCCTCGCTGCACAGATGAGATCTGGTCCCGTTGATGCGGCCGTAAGTGGCCATGGGGGTCACGCGGCGGGCTACCCGCGGGCCGCGGGTGGCGTAACGTGGCCAGCAACAGCCCTTTGTTAATGAAAGCGGGTGGCGTCTTCTCATCATCCTTTCCAACCGGAAGTCCGCTGGTTTCATCCACATCCACGATGATGCTAACCGTGGCTAGCATTAATGCAAGCACCAACAACATTCCTATGAAAGGTCAACTCATCGCACCGCCAAATACAAGGACAATGTAGGTACTCATTAAAAAAAAATTGAAGAAAATTCCGTGTAAGTACAGACTGAGAAAACTGAGTCGGGGAACCAAGCAATTTAAGCAGCGTCGCCCATTGCCATATTAACTGAGTTAATCTTGACTAATTCTGAGCGGGATGAACTGGTTCGTGCGGGGTTGCGAAGAATTTTACAATGAATTTGTAAACAAGAGGCTTAGCCGAAGAATTCAGCGGCAATTATGTAAGCGCGGTTCGCCGGTATTCCTCGTATGGGTTTTAAGCGGAAAGCTTGGAAATTCCGCGCGAATTGAATTGCTCGTGATACAGTGTGGACTCAGATGGGCGGTGCTTTCTGCGCGATGTATACTATGTACTAGCAGCGGAAGACTGAAAAGAATTAAATGAAATTTGTAGTGTATCCAATAGTAAAAGATTTCTCAACGTGCACCGTAAAAACCCAGACGGTCTACGTTCCGGGCACGAAGGCTGGCGAAACCGGCGATAATTGGCTAGAGTGGCTAGTATTGCACCAATTAGCCAGCAGTGTAACGCTGTCGACCATAGCAATGCCCTTCGATCATGAGGGCGCGACACTGCGGTTGACTGATGGATGGCGCAATCGCCGTATTACACGGTAGATGAAATCATGCTGAATATATGCAAAAATAAAATTAACTAATTATGTAAACATAATAAAATTTGCTAACTGAAATGTATTTAATATTCTTGAAGGAGTATGTTTTCGCTCACGCATAGAACAGAGTACAAGCTTGTCGAGAAATTGAGAGCGTAAAGTTGCAGGAATCGCCATATTGGCATCGGAATAATATAGCCACTGGGCACTGCCTACGGTACAGTTATCGCAATAATAATTGGTTTAAAGCTGTTTAATGTAGCTTTATTTCACTGTTCGAACGGTTTTAATCAGATACTACTGTTCAAATTTTAAACTGAAATTTATAAAATTTAATGCAATAACTGCAATAAAATAATTTTACTGCTATATGTACATGCAGCATTACTTCAGAAGTTAAATTAATTATATTACGAGTAAAATTACCAAGAAAATAGGATGAATGTAGATATAATAATATAAATATTTGACGTGCATCAGCCACGCCTAATGCATGTAACGCGTAAAGAATGTGGCGTGGTGCGCCGTGGTGTGGAGGTTGGCGTTTTCCATAAACGGTCATTTTTTGCTGCCGATCATCATGCTGCCTTTATGCGCCCATAATTTCTAGACAAGCTTGTACAAGTGTTGTCGAGTACAATAAAATGTTAGCATTACAGTAAAATAATTTTGTTCGGCTTATTGTTTTGAGCGTGTATCCGATGTGGCTTTATTATGCAGTATTAACCTTCCTGTGGAGACGCTGCTCCACAGTTCGCTTTTGCTTCCTCTAAAGATGACCCATTTTGGTCGCCTTTCCAACGAACCAAAGTCGCCTTGCGACTCCCCATCGCAGCGCTGAAAATATCTCGTCCACTGCGTACGGACCGGTACGAGTGTAAGTTCCTAACTTTGTAGTTTGTGGTTAAAATCAGGATAAAGTGGTCTAGTAATTAGTTGTTTTGTCAACATGTCCCGTTGCGTGCAGCATGATGGCCCCGTGCAGCGCTGCTATAGGTCAAAGTTTCTGTACCTGCATGCTGCTGATGTCACTGGCAATGGCATTGCTGATACTTATTAGTACGGGTGTCTACATCATGTGCGCAACGGGTGTGGTCGCTGGTCAGTCTGAGTTTGCGAACAGACCATCATCTTCATTCCATGCTGTGCGCTTAATTAATGTTGTTTACTGGTGTGATGATCTTAAAGCGGGTGGAGTAGGTGATTGCGGTAACAGATGGCCACTGGGATAAACTTAACAGCAGCGCCAGCGTTTAGCGTCTTCCTTGTGCATCATGGGCTATACTGCTGCCAACCGGCATCACCCGCTATAGCGTTGTGGACATGGGACGTTGGTGGTGGACATTGGGACATTGGGACGTTGGTCTTGCGCACAAACATCTCATTTTTTATGGAAAGCCAGTATACTCACGGAGACGCAATAATATTTGGGTTTGTAAAGATCAAAATATATCCAGGAGATATTCAGCAAAATCAGGAGATATTCAGCAAAATCTTAATAGCGATACTTACAGCATATGGCTTATGGAAAGACCGGACGATCGGTTTGCCTCGTAGCGCCATGTTTTGAATAACAACTGCACAAACCGAATACATACAGAGTGTACTGCATAGTCTGTAGTTTGCATGCAGTGATTCGTACTTGGAAACTTCAGTCCACGTACTATCCTGCACAGAATGCGGTGCAATGCCTTTGGCTAATGGCGAGAGGTTACTACGACGTAGTCCAAGCAGAATAAAACCACCTAACAGCACTTCGCACCGCATTTTGTGAAGAGACATTAAGGGGTTTGATAGAGGTTCGTCGTCATCAAAACGGTTTTAAGTCAACAAAAAATCATAAAATGAATCTTTGCTTTTTGGAAAACTGCCGATACGGAATACCCAACTGGAAATGTCAGTTAGGATAACCTACAACCATCAGTTTGACGCTGTGCGGTGAATTATGTACGAACAAGTAACGTCACCCACAGGCTAAATCAATAGGTAAGACTGAACAGAAAAGCGATAATTATAATGTTAGTGCTGCTGCTGTTTCTGGTTTACTCACACTGCTTTTATTGCAGAGTTTATTATTATTTATTGCGGACTTTTATTGCAGCCGTACGAATGCTGCAACACTCGTCGAGGTTGGTCGCCGCGTCGCCCAAATTGTGCTGACAATATGTTCTATAATGTGCTGTAGTACATGCAAAGTGGTGAATGTACTTAAGAAGGTTTGTTTCGGTCACAGCAGTAATTATTGGTTAGCAACGTGTGGTTAATGTTAAGAGATCCCTCTTGTTATGCTGTGGAATTCAGTTATCGTTTCCTTGTCTCGGTCTTGTTGACCGGTAATATTTTAATTATTATTAAAACCTTTACCGCATTTTCTGCACAATAATAAATAACAATTTTGCCTGCCTTCGCTTCGTTTCACAGCATATTGATCGCGTCTACAATACAGCTATAAAGGCTGTTATAAGGGTTATACTGCCCCGGTTTGCCCTCTTTGGATTTTCTTGTAAATTCTCGTGTACTCTTTACTTCCTACATAGCAGCGGTGGTACTTCCTACTCAGTTACCCAGCGAGCTGGCTACTGCTAACATAAAAGTTACTTATATAAGTAAAGTATTGCACATTATTTACGTATTCCTACGTATAGAGATACAGAGTACCTCCAACACTGTCATTCACTTTTTACTTATTTTCGCGTAATATCTTTGCACCATTCAGCAGAAGATATCTTGTGCGGTGCAACTTGGGCTCAAGAACACAGAAATATACCGGTATGCTTGCCCAGTGGCACAGTGCAAGTGCCATTTATACTAGTCGATGCAGTGTCCATCTGTAATACCAAACCTGGACTGCGAACTTTATGAACAGACAGAACAGTGGCATCATTTCTTATAAAGCAGCATACATACAGACACTTTTTTATACGTTTATGGCCTCCGGGGACCGGGATGCTACGATAAAATTAACAGCAGAGGGAGGCAATTGTGCGCGATAGAAGTGATAAGTCCTAAATCGATATCAACAGTTCGCATCAGTGACTTTTCGAGGCGACCATATTCAAATTTGCGCATTATCAACATCTAAATCGAAGACGTTAGACCATTTCTATAGTGTGTGGACGAGCGAGAGCTCACATCCGGTTGTTGCCCATGGCGCATCTGGAAGTATCCATCATAGTTAAACGTTCGTCGCCAACTTATTTTTCTCGATTGTTGTCTTACCTTAGATCATTTACTGAGGTACAACTGAAGCGAAACTAGAATTACTTTCAGCATAATTTTCCATGGACCATGGGACGTGTTTGACGTGCTTTGCAATCGGCAAGCCAATCAAGTGTGGTCTGTCGATCCCGCTGCTTCTTGAAGACAAGATTGTCTTCCACGACATCCCACAACTGCATTTCCATATCCCTTCTTGACTGGCCTCTGAAACACAGCTGTGGAAGAGATGCGTCCAGATCATCATCAGAGATGCGACAGTGTTTGAACAATATTCTGTCGTAAGTCGCAAACTCCGAGGCCAACGCAGCCACACTGAATATGTTGTAATTAATACGACAGGACGGCAGAGTGAAATCACAGCCATAAAACACTAGTAACGGTACGTGGCGGGAGTGGGAGAGGTGAGCGCTAAGTGCGGCCAGATGCCTTGACCAGCCGAATTCCAGCTCCGTGATAACTACCATCTTGGTGTGGGTGTTGGTACATTTCAGCCAACCAGAGACCATCCAGAACAGGCCGTCTATGGAGAACTGCAGGTCACCATCGCAGTATCTCTCACCGACTGTCATGCGCACATCCGGGAAATACGCTTCCATGGTGAGATGTTCGTTCCACCGGTAACAGACACGCCGACAGCGTATGCGCTCCACAGAGTCCAACGACTGGAAGATCTCCACCAGCAGTTCAGCGGGTAACGGTAGGCCCGAACGATGCCTTCCTCTGGGCATCGGCTTTCGGTTAAGTGTGATCGTCGCCCAGTGTTGGCCTACCCACGGAAATATTATAGACATTGTAGGGCGGTCACTGTTGTTAAACCAGAGCGTCATTGTCGAGCCGCCGGTATCCTTCTCCTTCTTCGCCTCATCGTACGCTAGTTGCTACAAAAACCAAAATATATAGTATAAGACTATAAGTTAACAGTTATCGGTTAACAGTTTGAAAGTTTCTACCAGGCGCAGGCTAATATTGCTTACTTTGCTTTTCTTGTAGATATTTACCCGGGGCATACAGAGATAATTTATTTACTGTCTAACCTTACAACTTTAAAGAAATAAATACCGAAACAACCGGCCAAACTATATACATAATAAGCTGTAAAATTAATTTATGCAACCATGAAGTACGAATTTACAAATTCCTCAGCGGCTAACGGATCGTCCTCTCGAAGCTGCAGGTAGAGAAGTGTTTGGCAAAGCACGGAAGTGCACAGCGCTCTTGACCATACGCTCAGTATGCAATGGAAGGTTTCCCCAATGGACCACTGGGTAGCCGACAGCGGGCAACAACGGATCACGAAATCATCCTTCTCCACGCGCTGCACCTTAGAAAGTTCCTCCCTGGGCGGTTGTCGTACCTGCTCCCCCGGAACGAGCTCCCTGAGGGTACCCTGTGGCAGCTTCACCTCCACGAATGTCGCCTGATTGTAGCTGTCTTCTCCCTCTCCCAGGGACAGGACCGTGCCAGCATGCCACATCCATGCACCGCCCGGCTGTCGACGCAACAGCACGGACACCGGCCTCCCGGCGCCGGGTAACCAGCGTTCGCCCTTCCACTGGAAGATGCGCCCGTACTCCACAAACTGCGAGCGCTTTGCGGGACACTGGAAATCAATGATCAGGCCGCCCCCCACCACGTTGAGGACGCGGCTGTGCTGTAGTTTGCCGTCAAGGCGAACATCCACGCCGTTCCATCCGTTCAGCTCGTGTCCATAGACGTGCATTGTGCCGTTGCTACTTACGGCAGCAGTTGGCTAACAGCTGGTTTGGTAATACAGCCACTACAGTGGCCGCTCGTCAGAGACGGATTTGCAACTGCTGTGTTGTGACAAATCGTTGAAGAAACAACTGCGCTGAAGTCAGCAGCCAGATGCGTCCAGATTTGTCACGGAACCATGAATACGGTACAACGTTGCACTTAAAATTATGTAAGTACGTCCATAACGAAAGCCTTCGCTCGATACAGAATCAATATCTGTTAGACTGAAGCATTTCCGTTACCCAGTTATGTTCAGGCATATGAAAATTACGGAAACACAGTTTATTGTCATCTTCATGTACTCAATATTGCGCTGGTAGATACTTGTGTTTGTCTAAGAATGCACATGCACGAATGTAGTACAGTAACCATAATATCATGTTTACATTGAAACAGTATTGCCAGAGGCTCTAAACGTTCGGTAAACGAATCATGCCAAGTTGTCAAAAGATACTGTTTTTCCGCAAAATGATGTTATTTTTCGTAAAATGGTTTTACTACCCAATACCCATGCGCAGAGCACAGTCTGCTCTTAGTTTCCATTTGGGCTACAGCGGTGGCCGGCGACAATGGTGGAAGACGATGCGGCGGGTCGGATTGTAGTGCTAAGTTGGAATGTGTACATATAGACGATGATATAGTTAGTTCAGCGCTGGCCGAAAACATTTCGGACGTACAGGAAGCTGTTCCCCCACTTATGTACGCTTAATCAAGACAAATCCCCACTTTATCACATTATACGGATGTTCGAAATGGCATGACATAATCATAACAGCAGTCTTTCTGTCAAGAAATGTTTTTCAAAATAGCTTGATTATTTGGCAGATTACTTCTTACAAGGTCAAAGAAGTGGCAGCTCTCGTTCCGGCCGTCTGGAGAGATCAGCGATAGTAGCAATATTGTCGGATTCGTGCACATAGTATGTACCGTGTGCAGAGAAAAATAATATGTTTTTTTCTTAAAATTCGGACGCAGGACCGCTGTACAAATAATGGCAGAATTACAGAAAGCCGTAGAACGATGGCGTAACGAAAGCTTTCATTGAGAATAATTGGCAGTGTCGAATGGTGCGAAGCGTTGACAATGCTGCGGTCAACAATAAGAAAATGGCACCAGAAAATTGTTTAAAAACCTAATCCGAGTAGAATTTGGGTGAACACTCTGTTCACAGCCTTTCACAACATTCCACTCGGTTCACAACCTGTTGTGCTGCCTTCGGTCCGTGCGCTGGCTTCTGGGCAGACTACCTTGTATACGGTACCACTCACTCCGTGCGCTATGCTTTTGCTTTTCCGCTTTCACGATTTCCGGTGAACAGAAGTGAAAGGACACTTCGCGATTTATTTATTTGCAAAGTTGATGTTACATACGAGTATGTAATGTCATACTGATATGATAGAAGTACACGAGGAGCTACAGCACTGAATTTTGGTCGGTGAATGGTGCATTGCAAAGAGCTGATCTGGACCAGGTATTCTCAGGACTTGGATCTAAATGATTGTAAAGCAAACTGTTGCGGCGGAAATTAATTAATACGTAAAAATAAGTACAATTTGCTGTGCATAGTTAATAGGTCAAAGTTAGTGCCGAAAAAGGTTGGGCACCGAATGAAAGGGGGTATCAAAAGGAAGTGCACGGAGTGGTCACCAAAATTTCATCATTTTTTTCCAGTTGTCTATGTACAGAGTACTCTGTATGTATGTCAATATCTTGTGTTGCTTTTCCCGTGTAAATTGTCTGCAGGTGTTTATAGCTTCTGCCTAATCCATTGGTCGCATTAACTTAAATTATCACCACCTAGACAGCAAGCGAAGCGTATGGCAGTAAAACAAGTGAGCAATTTTAGGAATGTTAGTAAGAATAAGGCAATATATAAGAAAGACAGATTAATCAAAAACAAAAACTCCACGTGATTACAATACTGCTATAACATTGTCCGGCTGAGCATATCATCCTATGACTAATACAGCTGGTTGCCGGTGTTTGTCGAGCTGACGTGATCATTATCACGGTTGAGCATATATAAAGAGAGATCAAATACACTTTGATATAAGAGCGCATTACGCATTCTGTTGTGGTTGTCGATCACCGGCCACGTGCGAACGAAAGAGACTGCATCGGAGCAAAAAGCGATGACGTCCCGTTCATTTGTGGCAGTAGCAGAGGGGAGGAGAGGGATGGCATTTAGCTACCGGGGCTCTAAATTTTAGATGGCAGTATTCTTTGCATCGCGGATCGCCCTTGTACCGGCACAATGTGGTCCCATGGTCGTCGGTCTTGAACCAGGTTTCTAATATATCGCGTCGAACGCGGAGTAGATTCATCCCGGATTCCCGTTTCCGGTTGCGCGGGGCGGCAAAGGACGAGGTCAACAAAAGAAGGAAGAATGTACTGACAATGATGAGTTTCTTCTTTGTCAGCTCGTTTAAATAACCGCGTAAATGAAAAAAAACAAAGAAAGGTGAAAAAGACAAATTTGAAATTGAAAATCTAATTATATCAGCATCCAAAATACGTATAATACTATCAGTATATTTGTCATGGCGAGAAAAGCAGGCAAAGGTTGTGCAAAACGATACATTGTCGTGTAGGGTACGAATTGTGATGGTTAGTCCAACCGCGCGATATTTAAGTAGTCGTGTCGCACGCCGCGCAGCGTTGTGGTTAGTCTTTCCGCTGACCAACACCGGTAAACTGCATTAGTGCGCGATGCGGATTGGCTGTACGCGCGGTGACGGAAGAAAGCGCGCCCCCGTGTGCGCTCAGAAACGTGGTGGCGACTGCATTGACTGAATTCACGATGACGCTATTACAGTTATAAGTAATACCGGTGTATGCGTCAGGCCAACCGTTAAAGCAATAATAATGTCGGTTGCCGATTACTCATACTAATACAGAGATAGACGCTTATCACTGCATTGACATTGTCATCGCAGATAATAATAACATCTTTATTTGCTATTCCTACATGGTAGCGTGAATATCCGCTCGTACGCTGACGAAAAATTAACCATTAAATTCCCTTCAAATTTACATTACCGATTATAAAATTTATTTTGCAGTTTTGGAAGGGCTCGACGAATCGGTCGGAACCTAGGAGAAATGCATAAAAGGTTAGGCCGGGGTGCGGCACATATCCTTATACGGACAAAAATCCTGCCGACTAATACTGTTGCTCACCATCACCTGACCTTTCACCGTGATACGTGTACAAAGCAGTGCATTTTATTGGTCGCAATATAACCGTATTGGGTTATACGTTGAAGTATTTCCCTTTAGAATCATAAGAAGTTTTGAACATGAACAAGAAGAAATGTCTTTTTCAGAACGGAGTTCAAAACAAGAAGAATTGTCTTTTTCTTGGTTTATACCGTAATGACTGAGATAGCCTTCCTGTTATTTAATTAAACATTCTGAAATATTCTTTCTTACTGGTGAAACAGGCGTAACAAGATCTAGTTTCTGTGTGGTACCCGGGCGCTCTACTATAATCATATTATGGTATGCATTCAATGTACCGTCGCTGGATGTATTGTGCACCGACTTGTGTTTTTGGCAGACGGCCAGGAAACAACCATGTTGTTCGGCATCTCCCGCAAGGACGCTTCATCAGCGACATCGCATTCTGCCAAAGCGGCTAACAAAATGCCAAGTCATCTATAAATTAAAGTTATAAAATAGGTTTTAATGCAAGCGAGTAGCGGAGTGCGTGATACGAACTCTATTAAACGTTGTCTGGATTCCTACGAAATAACCGAGCGACCAGCTGCTGGAACATTAACGGTGTGGAGGATACAAACAAGAGCGAAGAGGCAGATGCATCATGTGCTAACCGGAGTGTTCCAACACGAAGATCAAGATCAGAGCAGTGACATTGCTGCCTGACGGTGAGAAGCCGGTCTGCACAAGCTGCCCTATGGTCATCGGTTGCATATTGGCTGACGGCGAAACGGATTTCTGGACGCACATAAAGATCACCGACACACGCTGCCTGGCGACAGTAAGAATGCAGCAGCTATTGTGAGAACGAGGTACGTATCTGTAATTACAGTACTATTAAATTTTAGCATTAATTTCCTTAGCGTACGGTTGGATATGGCCGGGAATTGCGCTTGTATTGATGGAAAATTACGGTATCCGCCATTTGGTCAGTTCAAAACATTTCAGCATAAAATCAGCAAAATTAATAGTGGGCATAGATTGCCGGAACTCTGTTCGAACACAGAAACGCAGGTTCGTACAATATATGCGCTAAAGCCACGCATCCACCTCGTTTACAGCGACACTGTTCCTGTGTGGACTACGAAAAATCCAGGCATTCGTTACCATCCTACCCTTAAAACTGCAACATCGCAGTTTTAACAGTGAAGACCTCTCGTACACCCTCCAGCAAAGGGAAAGGAACGCCGTTGTGCTGGCAAATAATTATTCCAGGAAACTAAATCGGTGACAATAACTGCTGGAGAATTTCGTTTTCTCATTATGTCACAATAAACGCTTGTTTTTCTGGGTGCAGTTTCAACTAGCACTAAAACTCTCTTTTACGAGATTATTAAGGAAATCTGCTATTGACAGTACGCACCTTCATGGTGACCGATTAACTGGTAAGAAATACTAGGAATCGGAACTTTCGATAGCTTTATGTATCTTCACAGATTATTTGCTGATATATGTATCTGTAATTGCGTTTTGCGTAGGCCATAAAGTTAGCAGTATGGAAAAATAAATTGTAAACATCAAACAATCGTCATTGTCCAGCGGAAATCGCTGGCTGGCTGACGACATTTCTAGCCGATTGCCATCGAAATGTTTCACTAGCCTAGATTGCACAGCCAGCGACAGTAAAACGCACACAGTACCATACATTCGACTGCAGGTTCTCACGGCGGTAAAAGCGTCATTTCAGGTGCGATGCAACTGTGATAACATGAACGATCGTAAATGCATTTGCCACGTTCCCTTGTT